GGTAGAGTGCCATGGCATCTTAGCTCACAGCAACCTCAGACTCTTGGGCTCAGCGATTCTCTTGCTCCAGCCTCCCAGATAACTGGGACTACAGGCGCCCACCATAGTGCCCAGCTATTTTTTTAGAGACAGGGTCTTGCTCAGTTTGGTTTCAATCAAACCTGTGAGTTCAAGTAACCCACCCACCTCAGCCTCCCAAGTGCTGGGATTATAGGCATGACCCACCTCGCCTGGCATAAATCTATTTTTTTTTAAGAGACAGAAGTTACCTTAGGCTGGAGACTGGCACAATAATAGTTTAATGCAATCTTGAACTCCTGGGCTCAAGTGATTCTGTCCTCTCAGCCTCCCAAGTCGCTGGAACTACAAGCATAAACCACCACACCCAGACAATTTTTTTTTTTTTGAGACAGTCTCAATTTGTCACCCTTAGTGGAGTGGTGGTAGAGTCACCACACCCAGCCCACCCCCTAAGACCTGTAAGTTTATTTTTTGTAGTTTAAGTGATATTCACAGTTGTGTCAAATTGTGTCTTTTATTTCCTATCAGGTATTCTATTACTCAACAGGAATCTTCAAGGATGCAGGTGTTCAGGAGCCAATCTACGCCACCATTGGTGCGGGTGTGGTTAACACTATCTTCACTGTAGTTTCTGTAAGTTGAATGGTTTGATAATTTGGGGAGGAGGACAGAAAAGAATTCTTATTACAAATGTTCAAAGATGGATAGCACATTTTTTAGTCTATCATTATGTAAGACTTTTCCGTTAACTTAATTCCTCTTTGAGGAAAAGATACATTGAATAGTGGGTGTAAGTCTTCACCCTTTAAGCAAATATGGAGTGGGTGGGAAGGGGGAATGTATAGAAGAGCTTAGACGGGATGCTTTACACTTTGAATTGGAGAAGGGGAGGTCTGACTATAACAAGTACCCTGGCTCGGCGCCTATAGCTCAACCGGCTAAGGCGCCAGCCATGTACACCTAAGGTGGCGGGTTCGAATC